GGGTAACCGGCTACAGCTGCGCAAGATGTAGCTGGTTCAGCTAGGGCACAGCTCTTTGAGTGATCCACAAAATTGTTGTTCCTGGTTTTTTAGCTGCAATGTGATCTTTTGTAAACAGACCTACACTAGAGAAAATCCAAGGAGCTACCGTCATAAGAATAAAAAACCGCAACTACTGCGTAAAACGTTCACTACTTCAGTTCTCTTAGGAGCACTAATTTACTGATACAGTAAACGAATGTGGTAAAAGTAGAAGTCCAGGCATTTACTATTGATGAGTCCCGTCTTGACCCACTAACCCACTTCGCCCAAACCCACCCAACACTCACTAAGATAGCGAACTAAAGAAACGAGGAAATTGCGGTTTCGATCCACGCTGAAGTGTGCACATATCTCGTGTGGAAGGACCTTTTTTATCTTTCTAAGACTTTAAAGGGTTTATGGGTGATTGGCTAAAATATTTATTTTATCTGTGGATCACTTTTATTACCTGCATAGTATAAGTATTGATAGAAATCTATCGATAGTATTTTTAAAGGATTACATTTCTACCCGATCTGATATCCAACTCCTTAACTAATACTACAAACGAATAATTACAAACAATAGTGGGAAACTTTACTTGGTTCCTTAACGATTTTAATTACACATTTGTAGCTTTATCATCAGGAAATTCACATAGAATGCAAATTCTCTGTTGTCAACATTGTCCCTATGTAAATATGTATAAGTTATAATATACCTCCTGTATATATGTTACGTGGTGTTCAGTTAAAAGTCAGCAACTATTAAAAAACTAAATAATGTTTCTCATTTTCGAAACTGTACATAAAAGAATGAATCCAAAATTAGGCATGGCTAAAATCATCATCATCATCATCATCATCAACAGCTGGAAGACGTCCACTGTTAGACAAATGCCTCCCCCTTAGTCCTCCGCGTCGACCGATAAATTGACTGTCGACAAATGATATAAAATCGATGAAAAATTATTGGTGCGCTTAAAATGTCCAAGTTATGAATTTAATAAAAATAATTTAAAACAAATAAAAAATAAATAAAAAAGCTATCGTGAGACATACTAAATTAAGTAAAAACGCGGGTTACTCACGTGAATATACTGAGAAAAGCTCTACTAGTTTCGAACCACAGAGGGGTTCTTCCTCATGAGCAGC